ATATTGCATGGTGTACATTCGAACAGGGAGATGATGATTGTACCATAAGAAGTTAAAAAAAATTGAGCTAAAGATGAAGAGCTACAAATATTGGATTTCATAGATGTAGGTAGAGGACCCTTTTCCACGCTTTTAGGCGAATAGGGCATATAGGGCTAGACCTATATTTTTATAGACCAATCGCCACAAGATGGGTGATGTCGTCAGCGTCACGCCGGCCGGCTTTACTTCCCCGGACTGCACCCGGTACCCACTCAAGGCTGGGTCGACCTGGGAGCCAAGGTCATTTTTGAAAAAAGTCCCGCTCCGCCATTACATAAATGCAAAAGTCTAAAATATGAATCCATAAATTACATAGCTTTCAAATATAGAACTACATGACAAAAGAAAAGCAATCCGCACTGGATCCTTCCCCCCCCCCCCCCCCCCGCCCGCCTCTGGGATTATTTGGTATATGGTGTTAACACCGTATTTATAAATTTACCAATCATTACTTGATGGGTTATGTGGTCTTTATCATATAGGGATTAGAACACATAGTTATTCTGTCGATATGCAAGTGAGCAAGCTACAACTCTAGCATGACTTGTAAGAACAGGTAGGTGTGAAACAAGCACTGGGACAGACAGAAGAAAACAAAAATATTTGCCTCCAAGTCTGGACACTTGACTTGACTTGACTTTCTACCCCACTAGGACATCACACAAGCGATAAACACCCGATGACACAAAGTGCCACCATGCGGATGAGGATCGCCGTGGAGAGGTCCCAGAAACCGCGTTCAGACACTTGGCCATATTTATGGCCTGCCTATATTGCGGCCCCTGGCAAAAGCCAGGGTGGGGCTTCAAATAACAAAAAATTTCGCCCTAAAAAGGACGAAACTGGATGATACCAGCGATTAGCAACCAAATCTGGACACATTGAAAAGGAATTAATGAATAAATCAAAAATTGACATCACTGCAGGTAGGAAATTCCCATACATGCTCCGTCCCCTTCTTCATCAGCCAATGAAGAATCGACATGCCAACAATAAATCAGTTGACGAAGGCTCTTTGGGATAAATTGGACAAAGCAGATGACATAGGCGATCTCATTAACTATAATTTCCCTAACCGGATTGAAGAAGTTGTCATGCAGAGTTTTCTCCTCATTCACCTTGCCTTACCTCCCTTGGCTTAATTTTATATGGGGAAAAAAAGTAAAGATCCCTTTTCACGCCTATAGGGGCATCGGGCAAACGGGAAAAGCGCCCACATTTTTTACAACCAATTGGCACTAGGGGGGGGGGGGGGGGGTAATGTGGTCAGCATTTCACCGGCCTTCTTTACTTTTCCCAGGACGTAATCCTGGTACCAATTTAAAACTGGGTCGACCTGCGGCGTCCTATACAATGATAAAAATCCACGCAGCCAGCAGTGGCTTTCGATCGGGGTACGTTGGAATTACGAGTCGGACTCACAACGCTTAAGCCCCGGACGCCGCTTGCCTTTTTTTTTTATGGGGCACACCAAAGGAGAAGGTATGCTCAATGAAAATCACAGATGTAACATATTTAATTAAACGCATACAGAGCGCTACAATTGAGAGCAATGTGGATTTATTACGCAGAGTTTATGTGAATTTTGCAAAGGGAATCAACCTTTGAATCGCAAATTATGCAAGTAATACTGAATAAGTTGTTTAATATTCCTATTGAATAATTTTTTTTTTTTAAATTCACAATATGTATTTGTGCCTAGTTGACCAGACTTTTTTTAAGGTATCCAGAAAGGTTAAACCGGTCAACAAATGTTTGCAGAAGTCAGATGTGTCGGTCGAAAGGCGCAAATATCGCGGCGATGTTGTAAACTGGCACAATGCAATTGCATCTTAATTACTGTTATCCAGTTTCGTCCTTTTCAGGACGAAATTTTTTGTCATTTGAAGCCCTACTCTGGCTTTTGCCAGGGGCCGCAATATAGGCAGGCCATAAATATGGCCAGATGTCTGAACGCGGTTTCTGGGACCATCGGGTGTTTATTCGCTTGTGTGATTGTCCTGGTGGTGTAAAAAATCTAATATCCCACCTCTCTCCACGGCGATCCTCATCCGCATGGTGGCACTTTGTGTCATCGGGTGTTTATCGCTTGTGTGATGTCCTAGTGGGGTAGAAAGTCAGTCAGTCTTAATTACTGCTTTTCGTCCTTCTTAGGACGTTATTTTTTGTTATTTGAAGCCCCACTCTGGCTTTTGCCAGGGGCCGCAATATAGGCAGGTCATCATTATGGCCAAATGTCTGAACGCGGTTTCTGGGACCTCTCCACGGTGATCCTCATCCGCATGGTGGCACTTTGTGTCATCGGGTGTTTATCGCTTGTGTGATGTCCTGGTGGGGTAAAAAATCCAATCCAATCCAATCTTAAGATGAAATGTATATCACCACCTCAGTGTGGGATGCAATTTTTCGTTATTTTGAAGCTCCACCCTGGCTCTTGCCAGGGGCCGCAACATAGACCGGCCATAAATATGGCCTAATGGCTGTACGCAGTTTTTGGGGACCTCTCCCCGGTTGATCCTCATCCGCATAGTAGCACTTTGTGTCATCGGGTGTTTATCGCTTGTGTAAAGTTCTAGTGGGGTAAAAAGTACAACTACTATTAATCTTCGGATGAATGGAGAAGAAAATTTAGTGTATAATGATCACAAGCATTTCAAGAATGAAGGCTACCTCTACTGAGGCATATTTTGAAAGCTATCCAGTAAGCTTAATAATTCTATGTACTATGCCGCTGTTTACAACCAAAGGTGCTAGTGTGCTCACATATGACTTTGTCTGAGATACTGAACAGTTTTAAAACTCAAGGACTCTTACTGTTGAGAAGGCCAACCAGAGAGATGAATGGAGACGGGTAATATCTGCAGCAATGAACCTCAAGGGCTCGGAATGCTGAAGAAGATATTCTAATGATAAAAATACAAAGAAAATGTCATATTTCTTTAATAGTATCTTCTTCTTTACGATCGGGTTCTTATGTTCAGGTTACCAGTCGTGTTGCCTCCATGACCTGGCGTGTCGGCAGGATATCTGAAAGTTCCCCAGTCTCCTAAAGTTTGTTCTGGATTCCTCTTCCCTCTGGCTATGTGTTTACTCGCGGGTTTGGCTGTAGGGGGCAGTTCTGCAGTTGTGCTCAAATGTTTGGGGTGCCGTTTGGCAGGGACACTGAACGGATTGTGCCTAGTAAGTTTAGCTGCACACCGTCAGGTGTATATGACAGAAAGTACACCAAGATATAATCTACCTTTCAGGATGTGCTCAAGCGATGGAAACAGAGACGATAACCTTGTGTTTAGTAAACACAATTATCACATGGTTAACTCTCTAAATACCCAGCAACGCGCTATGCGCTGGTTATGTTCTAATGACAAGATCTATTTTTCTCTGCTCTCTTTACCTCACTCAGGTGTTTCACTAACCCTCTCTATTCTTATTTTTACTTTAACTCTTATACTTCTCGGTGTTATGTTTTTGACTTATTCGCACCCCCCAGAAAAGAAGTTTTTAAAGGAATAGTAAAAGCTTATAGTGGTATAATCAGTTGAAGTTAATCTGTTCTAGGACTGAAATAGTTTGACTAAGATTTTCGTGGTGAGATGAGCCGTGTAACAATGGACTATTTTATTTATGACTAAGCTGACATAATTCAGTTTTGTGTTTCATACGGTGATTTTGGGCTGCGTGCAGTTTCTTACCGTCAGGTTGCTGCCTGAAAGTCTGACACCTTGAAATGACAAAAACATGGCAGAACAACAGGGCAGCCCAGATACCCTGTTCAATCTAAAATAAATGTATAATTTTGTCACTGTAACGGTTGAAGGTGTAGCATGCAGCCTTATGCGGTTAATGATGATAAACATGTTCATATTTAGGGCCCTTTACTACGCCTTCAAGCCTAATAAACATATAGGGTTAGACCTATAATTTATAGATAAGTTGGCAGCACACAGTGGGTCATGTGATAAGCATCTTATCGGTCGCTTTTACTTCACAGGACTCTACCTGACTCCCATTTGAGACTGGGTCGACCTGGGAGACTGGTCATTGTTGAAAACATTCCAGCACCGTTCGGATTGGAACCCACGACCTTCGGAACCGTAGGCGAACGCCTAGCCGCTACACTACCTGGGCTCTCATAATGTTCATATGTGTGTGTAAATTCTGCAGTCTGAATTGATGAAGAAATGGTATTATGCTAAGTAATCAGTTGTGAAATTCTCTCTCTCTCTCTCTCTCTCTCTCTCTCTCTCTCTCTCTCTCTCTCTCTCTCTCTCTCTCTCTCTCTCTCTCTCTCTCTCTTGTTGTACCCCACCAGGACATCACACAAGCAATAAACACCCGGTGACACATAATGCCCTCATGCGGATGAGGATCACACGTGGAGAGGTCCCAGAATCCCCTTTCGGCCGTTAGGCTAAATGCATGGCCTGGCTCTATTCAGGGCCCCCGGCAAAAGCAAAAATGGGGCTTTAAATTAAAAAAAAATGCATCCCACATGGGGACGACTTTACAATATGGCTAGTTGTGAAATAAATTGTTTTTTAATATTCCTTATTTAAATTCATAACAGAAAAACATTGTTTTAAATTTCTTATTTTGTCATAATCAATTTCAGCTTAACCGCAAGAATTATCATCAAATGTACTATCGCTTATAATGTTTTATACCTATTATCCAGGTGACTTTGTCAAACAAACAACTAGGAAATAATACTGAACAAGGAAGACAGAAGTTTCTGTGTATTTTAACATTTAGCATTGCGTTTTCCGAAACTAGAAGTTGCAAATTTGTCATTGCGAATAACTTTTGATACCTTGTAAATAAAAATTACAGAGACCAAATAAGCTAACATATACATTTCTCAGTTTTCTGAACCAGATCTAAATATTTGAGCTAATAAATATATTTGCTAGCGCTATCCTTTAGAGTCGCAGAAGAAATGAACAGGGTACAGAACCATGTCAGCAGTAACGGGCAATAATTCTGATAGTGCAAGGACCATAGCAGCACTCGCAGACGAGACTCCTCTTCCTTCTTGAGTTTCGTTTCTCCAACAGGTTGATAAAGGCGCTGGCTGTTGGCCTGTGAGAAGTGTAAACCGGCTCATCCGCAGATTTTAGTAGAGAGACCAAATGGCTGTTGTCTTCCAGGATGAACACGGGATCTGTTAAGAGAGAAAAGATATTAGACCAAACGAAAAGTATAAATAATCAGCTTTACGTCACCACAAACGAGAACGTTGCGGCTAGAGAACCTTCATCGGGACATTACATGAATATACGATACCACAAACATCAGCAAGAAGACAGAAAAATCATTTAACGGAAATATTTATGAGAGAAATCACATATATGTCTGGCCAGTTGAATCTCTGACGCCTGTGTGATAGAATATGACGTATTATATATATATATATATATATATATATATATATATATATATATATATATATATATATATATATATATATATAGATATATATATATATATATATATATATATATATATATATATATATATATATATATAGTAAGTTGTGTATCCTTTATAGGACGTTGCAGAACCAACTCTAGCATTTTTTTGGCTGTTGTGGTTTTTCTAGGCAAATTTACATTCAGTAGTTTGCCATTGCTTTCTGGACGGTCAACTTCTCGATACCACTGTCGAAACCAACGCAAGGCGCAGGGCCTGCAGCTGGGATCGAACCCGGTACCCCGGCATTACAAAGCGCGTTCGCAACGTCTAAGCCACAGACGCCGACATATATATAATGGTATATCTGAGCAGGAACTGAAGCTGGAAACAAATGGATTTAGGAAACGAGGGTGTTTTAAGGTCATTTATTATATCGAAATGATTGCATCGGATAAAACGGCATGGAAGACTAGACTGCGAGCCCTTTGAAACGAAAAGACGGTATGATGATGATTATGATGATAATCTAGGAAGGCTTCATTTAATACATATTGAGAGAACTGTCATAGTTATAAATCAACGTAGCTTCACATTGAAGGATAACTGCGATCCCTAGGACTATACTCTTAAAGAAGAAGAAGAAGAAGAAGAAGAAGAAGCAGAGAAAATTAAGAAGAGAAGCAGCATAGTTATTCGATGGTGCGTTTTTATTAGTTGTCGGGACAGCCCGTACGCTTAAAAACTATCAATGACCCAAATGCACACACACATACACACACACACACACACACACACACACACAAACTGCCGTTTGAACCGTAATATATAATTTTGTGCAATTTGAATAATTTCAGTCATTAAGTTAGAAAGTGAATGTCAAAACTACAACAAAGTTATCTTCCTTTAGGAAGCTTAATGTTTCTCTCCCCCCCCCTTTTTGTGTGTGTGTGTGTGTGTGTGTGTGTGTGTGTGTGTGTGTGTACACGTGCGTAAATTGTAGAGGTTAGTTCCTTTAACCATAGAAGTGAGTGCTCAATAAAACTGATCACACTGCAAGAGATGATCTTGAGAAAACTGTCAGCATTATAGACACGAACTATGACCTCTGTTGCCACAGACCGCAAACAGTTTACGTTTTCATAACTACCCGAAACCACCAGTATACAACTGTCGGCATCACAATAGAAAGTATTATCCCGTCGATATCATAAACATGTTTACTGAAGCTACAATTCTGCATTTAAGGTCAAACGAAACACTGAGACTGGGGTGGTGCTGGGATAACCACGTCTGCTGTTTTCCCAGCCGGCAATTTTGAAAAGTTGACCGTGACATATTTACAGAAGAGGACTTTCTTTGTAGCAGCAAGGATGCAAACATAATCTTTCTTATTCGAAATGAGAATGAAATCTCGCTGCCTCCATCTCTTAATGTACTGAGGTAACCAGGCTGTTTGTGAGCTTACGTAAGTGCCAGCGTACACAGGTGTGTTCTGAAGGTCGCCCTGGCCGAGTGGTTGTCATTTTACTTCGTCTTCTGAAGATCATGTGTTTTGTTTCGAAAACCGAGTTTTCGGTCAGCAAGTGCAACTGCTTCGCAAATCAACAAGGATCAGTGCTGGAGGCAGGGGTTTTGTGCTTCGTGACGCGCTTGCCACGGGCATTCGCCATTGTTCGGAGACTACCAAGGCATATGAGATTCAAAGCAGTGAGGTAGACCCTCTCACATTTAAAAAGCCATCGTGTGTACACATATGTATACATACCCACATCACAATATCCATGAGTGATGTCAATCAATTGTGCCGGTCGTCTTTACTTCCTATTATATTTCTTGGAACACATTAGAGAATAGGTCCATCTGCGAGCCCAGATCTCAGTGCTGTATTCTGGTATAAAAGCTAAATGAGCTCAAATTTAAGCCTTTACAATTTGCAGGGGCCTATGAAAAACCACACCCCCCCCCCCTCCCCCATAGATGAAATTTTCTTCTAATAGTTTGATAAATGCAGTGTTCTTCTTTTATAGGAAATTAAAAAAAAAAATATATATATATATATATATATATATATATATATATATATATATATATATATTAAGGTGTAATTTAGAGGCTTATATAATGTACTTTCTGTGATTTCCCCAAACACATTCTTTTTTATTTCGTTTAATAAAAATTAAACGGCAATATATTTTCATTATCCATGTATATCAATGGCGTAAAAATGTTGCAATTTTTGAGAGAATAGCTGTTGTAATTTAACACAGTAGGTCCTCAGGACATACATATCTTGGGGCTTCATCAAGTCTAAACCAGGCCCTACCGGGTCATTTCTAAAAATCTATCTTAATATGGATTCTTCCTCTTCTTCTTCTTCTTCTTCTTCTTCTTTTCTTCTTCTTCTTCTTCTTCTTCTTCTTCTTTTTCTTCTTCTTCTTCTTCTTCTTCTTCTTCTTCTTCTTCTTCTTCTTCTTCTTCTTCTTCTTCTTCTTCTTCTTCTTCTTCTTCTTCTTCTTCTTCTTCTTCTTCTTCACGTTCAACGGCTGTAAACTCCGGCGGAAAGTTTTGTTGTTCGTCCACTTCTGGACTGCAGTCCTGTTTCAGAACCTGAGTGTTGATTACAATCCAATACTTTTGGGGACAGCGGTTAGTTGTCATTATCCAGAACGCGGTCAAGAAAGCCGCCAATATTGATTGATACCTAGAGGGGGTTTAGGTACAAAAATATAAGTAGCTAGACAACGGAACTCACCTGAAGATGTATCACAGAGATAGAGTACAGAATAGAACAGACTAAAACTGCATTTGATAAAATGGAGAATATGTTAAACAATAAATACATGTCCTTGGAGGTTGGAGAAAGAATTACACGCAGAGCCAGCTTGAACTGGAACATGTGACAACTGGAATGAACTTTGTAAGAAAACATAAAGAGACACAGAAAGACAACGCAAGGGGCTTCTTGAGTTTTTAGTTCACACTGCAAGGGATGATCATGAAAAAACTGTCAATATTAAAGACTCGAGCTATGACCTCTGTTGCCACAGACAGCAAACAGTTTACGTTGTCATAACTACCCGAAACCACCAGTATACAACTGTCGGCATCAGAATAGAGAGTATTATCCCGTCGATACCATAAACATGTTTACTGTAGCACAGAGAGGTATCAGCGGACAAAATGATACATGATGTAAAAGATCCCGGATTATGAAAATGCAAGGTCACTCAGGCCAGTAAGCTAAGCATATGATGATAAAGGTAAGAAAGATGTGAACCAGTTCATTGCACACGGTTATAAACCATAAGTGCTCTGCCACCAGTACGGACAGCTGATAAGAAACTGTCCGCCTGTGTCGCCGTCGGCACGTAACACTGTGGCTACAGCGACGTTCCTCACTTTACTCCAGAGTGTTAACTCTGGTACCCATTTGCTAGATGCTGGGTAAACCCCGAGAACCGCAAGGTTTCGAACACCGACCATGGCTGCAGCGAGTCGCAGCTGGATTTGAAAGCGAGCCTCGTATCGACTACGCTAACGCGGCTCCCATTTGATGATAATGATGATGAGGATAATGGTGGGTGATTTCACTTTGCAATGTTAAGTTCAGTAGTTAGCCATCACTTTCTAAACTTCTTATATCGTAGTTAGTTAATCAATCTACCGATCATCCTCACTGAACATCGGACAAGTCCATAAAAACTTGGATTCCATCTACATTATCTATTTCATCGTGTTGGTTCGCTCTTCTTCTTCGGGCATCTGTATAGTGCCCATGTCTGACAAGACCTCTTTTGACATGAAGTTTTTGTAGTCTTTTCAAGGTTATCATCGATTCACCATTTTCCCCTGAACCACCGACTCGCCCTGTGTCTTTGGGAGCACTGAGAAGGCTAGGCTCAGTCCATTGCGTTTCCTTTGCATGTCGTGGCCCAGCCAGCCAGACAGCCAATCCGCTCGTTTGTTTCCTCTTACTTACATCGATGTACTTCGACTTCGCAGAAAACGTCTCTAATAACTAAACATGTGTTGTGTGAGGGTAGTGAGTCTATTTTCTCCACCCCCCCCCCCACCCAATGGGGCCATGGAACCCATTTGGGGAAGTCAAAACTGTGAAAACACGTTCACGTCATTTAGCTACAGAAGCAGACGGGTAGCTAAAAAGGCCTTTCCCGAATTCTCCCTCGCATTTATAAAATACCTTATATCGCTGCGAAATGTCCCTGTGGGGTTCTGGTGCCTTACTTGGGGAGGAAGGTGAAAAATGAAATGTTCCCTCCCTTTTCCCCCCTCCCCTAAAAAAAAATGGTGTCGTAAACGACGGCTAATTAGGATTTACTGAAACCAAATGTGTCGGGACGAAATGTGTAGATATTGCAGCCAAGCTGTAAAACACAAAGTGCCAACGGCCCCTTCCTTTAAGGACAAACGCGGCAGCAGGTGTAGAAGAAGATGATGATGATGATGAAGATGAATAATAATAATAATAATAATAAGAGGAAGAAGAAGAAAAAGAAGAAGAAGAAGAAGAAGAAGAAGAAGAAGAAGAAGAAGAAGAAGAAGAAGAAGAAGAAGAAGAAGAAGAAGAAGAAGAAGAAGAAAGAAAAAGAAGGAAGAAAAAGAAGGAAGAAAAAGAAGAAGAAAGCTGTTCAAGTGAAATCATCGCACCAATTTCTCAGGAATTATTTCAATTGCCGCCCCCAAGCACAAATGTATTGTTGAGTGCAAGTGTCAGTATTATTTTGACAAGTTCTAGAACCAAATCAAACGAGATGTCCACTAAGACTCGCTCGATATCTTGCGAAACAACCAATGTACCAGAATGACCAAGGTTTCTAGAAGTTTATTTAAAGCCGGGAACTACCATAATTATACGCTTGCTTGGACAGTACTGAAGTATATACCTTTAGTGTGGAGCATAATCTCCAGAAGCTCAGGGCTATATGTAGCAGACGAAATAAGGTAATAACTAAATTGATGGACGGAGGCCGTCGTGGTGTAGAGACAAGAAGCCTGCGCGGGGATCTGAAGGTCCTTGGTTTAAATACGACCGGAGCCTGGCTTTCTTCAAAAATCATCTTGACTGCCGGGTAACCCAGCCTCCAATTAGTACAAGGTAAAGTCCTGGGAAGTAAGGACGGTCGGCGTGATGCTTACCGCATAACCCACCCATTGCCGATTGGTCTATAAAAAATATGTCTAGCCCTATATGCCTGGTACGTCTGAAAGCATGGAACATGGTCTTTTACCCTAATCGACGTATGACAGACAGAAGAAAAGTAATCCTTTCCTTCAAAGGGTTGAAGTCTGTGGATTATGCATTGCGTACACTCTTCCTAATGCCAGGGTGCCGGGTTCTATCCGAGCTTCATGTGATTTAGCAGCCGATAGGTTAGCATTGGTTTTGACAGGGGTACCGAAAGTCGACCGTCAGTAAGCAATGGCAGACTATTAAAGGTAAATTTGCCCAAGAAAACGACATCTGTCACATAATGCTGGGGAAGGTTCTGTTACGGACATGCAACTAACTTCCTTTAAAGAAGAGTCGCCCTGATGTAACGTCTGGACGCTTGCCTGCAGATCTGCTGTAGTATAGGGAAACGTGGGAACGACAGCCCATGGCGATACCATTTAAGTCCAGGGATAAGGTTCTCCCTCTCCGCAGCACAAAGCCTGGGCAGTATTGTAGAGATCAGTCAGCGTGATCCCCCGCTCTGCCTGCTTTGTTAACTCAAAGGAAAGGTAACATTAAGACGTTTAGAACCAATAATGCCGCAGAATCCGAAAAGCAGTGCTCTGTCCGCTTGCCGGAGCTTCTTTACTAGACCAGCTGCCAACCTAGGCAAAGTGCCAACCAATGCAATGGGTCCTATCTGCCTTGCCATAATATCCAGTTTTCATATTATATTTCCTCGTCCCAGGTCAGGTCGTTATCTGACTATCTGGTTGGTCGTTATCTGACTATCTGGTTATTTGTTATTATCAAGTTCATTATCTAGCAATAGGTCAGAGAATGTGCTAATGTGACTTTCACTAGGCACGGAGCATCTGAAAGACGATATTTACTCTATTAAAACAACAACGACAAAAACTTTAAATAATGAACACAAAAAATACATTGCACATTTCATTGCCTGACAAATCTCATCAAGTGCATTACCACAGAATTAAATCAACAAATAATTCAACACAAAAGTCCAGAGGTGGATGAACAACCAGAACTTTCCGTTATAGTTTACAGCCTGTAAACGCAAAGAAGAAGAAGAAGAAGAAGAAGAAGAAGAAGAAGAAGAAGAAGAAGAAGAAGAAGAAGAAGAAGAAGAAGAAGAAGAAGAAGAAGAAGAAGAAGAAGAAGAAGAAGATGATGATGATGATGATGATGAAGAAAAAGAAAAATAACTAATTTTTTCCTGAAATACATAAATCGCATTGTCAAATGGTCTGTACATCTCTCAACCGGAAATTCAAGGTTAGCCGTCTGATTACCACGGTCACTATAAAATTTATCACGTGCTCTTTTTTGCTTACACAACATCAATAAAATAAAACAACGTACCTGACTTGTGATCTGGATACCTGGAGAATTCCTCATCATCGTCATGAAGTTCAGAATTTAGCAGTGAGTCTACGGATGGGCTTGTGTCACTTTCACTGGGCACGGAGCGTTTGGACATTGGGAACAAGTGCGGGTAGGTCCGGCGTAGAAGGAAGCAGACGTTGCTGTGAGCTTGAGCCAGTCTCTCTCCACAGAAGCCACTGATAGAAACCCATAATAAGTTGCTAATTATGTTCTATAGATCTCAAAGCCCACTGAAATTCGACTACAACAAAATATGGTATAATTGATTTAATGCTAAGGCACCACACATCACCACGATCATGTTGTGCCTTTATATGTCACATAGGGCTCGCAGTTTAATCTTCTTTTTAGTTATATCCTTTGTAGTTGTTTCAATTTCATGGATGGAATCCAGCACATAATCCGTAGCATCTCTCATCAACTTTTGTTCGCTTATGGTTTCCTTTTTGGCATTCTCGTGTTCTTAATCCATTAATAGTAATGGCATCATATGGTAGATAGACAGGCTTACTGTTTTAGCCGTAGCAAGATACTTGCTTTTGGCTAAGGTTGGCTATAGCGTTTTTCCCTTATGTAGACTGAAAGTGTAAAGTTTTGTCGCCCAGCTACAGTATCTGGGTGCATGGTGCGACAATGTTTGTGTTTGCACTTCTGATGGCTGCTTTATGCATTTAATATGTTTCTGCTTCTGACTTTGCCAAGACTGCAGGCTGTGTAATTGTCTTTCACAAAGAATTTGGTACCCAGGAACAGTGTTATTCCCTCTGTCTTGTGTGTCTATGGTCAACCTTCCTTCCTCCCCTCCCCACCCAACACACACTTGTTTCTATAGAATTTACATTATTCTAAATTGAAACATAAAAATGCAATCCTTTCGAGTGAAATACACAACTCACAGTATGTGCGAGTGCGATAAATCACTATGTGGTATATGTGTCGAAATGATTCATTTTTAGCCCTCGTAGATGAAACCATATTTTACGGACCCGAGTGGGGGTGAAAAAGAGGACCCCCATTCACAAGACAGTTAAAAATAAAATAGCTGCGAATTTTGCAGAACCAATCCATAGCATTTGTCGGCTGGTAGTCTGGTCTGGTAGTCTTAGTTTCAGTTTCATAGCAAACGGGTCACCCCATCTGTGCTCCACTTCTGTGCCAACGAAAAACACACAGAATGTTTATCACAGTCCCTTGTGGAATGCTTGACAGACTGCTGCCTCAGCATATCTAGCATTCACACGCATTAAAGCATACGGTAGCCATCCGAAGTGCTAACACAAACAGTCCGACATCAGAAATGCAGTTCATCATTGATGATAGCAGAAGTCACCAACAGATTAGCAGTTGTCCACACGATCAATTTTAATCACACACGGGCACCACCAACATTGCGACAACAGGCATCGCGCCATTTTCTGAATCTACAATTCACACCACCACGTCTTTGCGTTTAATGGTCGGTTTCCGATACACCTGTCGAAATTAACTCAAAGAAGTCTGCTGCTGATATCGAAGGCAAATCTCAAATTACGAAGCCCTTTCGCAACATCAGAGTTTCAGGAAACTCAGTGTTTTCTTCTTCTTCTTAAGCGATATCTGGTTATGCGCGTGTATCCACCGTGAGCCCATCAAGTAAGATTTCAGTTTAAGGTCCCTCAGGTTTTTCCCACAGGTCAGTTGTAGGTCTACTCCACGAGGCCATCAATGATAAAGTGCATTTCTGGTGGCGACTGTTGGCTTTGGCGCCTCTAGAAACTGGAATATGCATTTACTGTGTGAGAATATTTCTTGATTGTTCGGAACTAATTGTTTGTTTACTTGTTTTTTCAAATGGGACGCTGAGGGACATTTCAACTGATTTTCACTAGCACATGAAGGGAGCAATATGGGGAAACCTGATTGCAGTGAAATTAAAACTTCGACTGCGACGTGTTGATTGGCAGCTTCTTCAGGAGTGGAGAAGTTTTGCAAGACGTTTTCTGGAGTCTCTTCAGCTCAAAGATACTGGCAGAGGGCTGTTTAGCTTATAGCTAATTTATACGAGAGCTCGTTGAGTCTGCGATGTCCTGTGCGTAAGCGTCAAATAGTAACTTGGTCAGTTCTGTTCAGACGTTCAAGGAGAACCCAATGTATGAAATAAAAAACAACAAAATTACCGATGAACATCATTGTGTAGCAGGTCCTTTGCAGAACGTCGCTCTCATTACGGTCTGCCTGAAAAAACTCGGTCTGTCGCCAGCTCTCCCGCCTTGTGTACTTTCATATTCAAGGAGTCACTTACATCTTGTACCCATCTTCGTGATGGTCGGCCATCTGGCAGTCTGTTATGAGAGCGACGTTCTGCAAGGGATCTGCTACATGATGATGATGACTTCAGTGGGTTATAAAAGACAACTTAGGAAATGATAAGTGAAACTTACTTGGGATGAGGCCTTGCTAATAAACTGCAAGTCCTGCTTTGACCCAGTGCCTGGTATATCGTTAAATTAATTGCTATTAAAGCAACGGTCAAAGTCGTGTAGTATTCGACATTCCGAATCATGCTTTCTGTGGACAAGAAATAATTGGAGATTATCACTCTCTTTATAAGTATGTTACTTTTTGTAAAAGTACTAAATATGTACGAGAATGTTACTTTCAGTAAAAGTGTTAAATATATGTTTTGTTGTTGTTGTTTTTGTTTATTTGTATAAATGCACTTTCCAAACAATACTGAAAAAAAAATCAAAGGGGCTGGACCTGCCCACGTTTCCCGGCCCATCTACACACTTTCTCAGTCTGATCTAGGTCAGAGGGCTGTCACATTGACTGCTTTCCTTAGAAAGAGTCTCTCGTGTGGCCCAAGCTGAGGCTGTGGCTAGGGGTGGGGAGAAAGGGATTGGGGGGGGGGGGGGAAGGGGTTGTGTTAGGGGCAGGTTTATGTGTTCTGCGGTCGTTGAAAGGTGTGTCGTCGTGTAGTATAGAAAACGCAAGATCGGCGCTGATGTGATTGGAGAGAAGATAGCGTGACACCCCTCCGAGATAGAAGAGTCGTCAGAGAAAGTGTGAATAGAAAAGGTCATGCAGTGTGTAGATGGGCCAGAAAACGTGAAAATGACCAAAGGACTAGTCCGCTTAGCCCCTTACCGATTGTCTAAGGACAATCTTAGCCCCTTTGGAACATCAATAAATGTAATACCTATGACAGTCGCAGTAATGTGGTGGCTAGACACTCTCCTGTGAATCAGAAGGTCGCGGGTTCCGGTCCGGTTGGAGCCGGGTCTTTTTTTTTTCTTTTAAAAAATGAGCTTGGCTCTCAGGACGACAGTTCTTAAGTGGGTACCCAGGTAAATTTATGAGAAGTAAAGGCGGCCGGCGTGATGTTAACAACATCATTCACCCAGTGCCGATTGGTCTATTAAAATAGGTCTAACCCTTTATATGCCCAGTACGCCTGAATGCGTGGAAAAGGGCCCTTTACTTATTTTACACTCCTGGCAGAGATAGAGATCAAGGCACAAACACCCTCACCGTCGTACAGGGCACAAACACCTACACCGTCGTACAGGGCACAAACACCCTCACCGTCGCACAGGGCACAAACACCTACACCGTCGTACAGGGCACAAACACCTACACCGTGGTACAAGGCACAAATACCCTCACCGTGGTACAGGGCACAAACACCTACCCCGTCGTACAGGGCGCAAACACCCTCACCATCGTACAGGACACAAACACCTCACCGTCGTACAGGGCACAAACACCAACACCGTGGTACAGGGCACAAACACCTACACAGTCGTACAGGGTACAAACACCCTCACCGTCGTACAGGGCACAAACACCTACATCATCGTACAGGGTACAAACACCCTCACCGTCGTACAGGACACAAACACCCTCACAGTCGTACAGGGCACAAACACCCTCACCATCGTACAGGGTACAAACACCCTCACCGTCGTACAGGGCACAAACACCCTCACCGTCGTACAGGGCGCAAACACCTACAGCATCGTACAGGACACAAACACCTACAAAGTCATACAGGGCACAAACACCTACACCGCCGTACAGGGCACAAACACCTACATCATCGTACAGGGCACAAACACCTTCACCGTCGGACATGGCGCAAACACCTACACCGTCGCACAGGGCACAAACACCTACACCGTTGTACAGGGCACAAACACTTACACCGTTGTACAGAGCACAAACACTTACACCGTTGTACAGGGCACAAACACTTACACCGTTGTACAGAGCACAAACACTCTCACCATGGTACAGGGCACAAACACCCTCACCGTGGTACAGGGCACAATCACCTGCCCCGTCGTACAGGGCGCAAACACCCTCACCATTGTACAGGGTACAACACAAACACCTACACAGTCGTACAGGGTACAAACACCTACACAGTCGTACTGGGCACACAAACTTACATCGTTGTACAGGGCACAAACACCTACCCCATCGTACAGGGCACAAACACCTACACCGTCGTACAGGGCACAAATACCTACACCGTCGTACAGGGCACAAACACTCCCACCGTGGTAAAGGCACAAACACCCGTACCGTGGTACAGGGCACAAACACCTAACCCGTCGTACAGGGCGCAAACATCCTCACCATCGTACAGGGCACAAACACCTAGACCGTCGTACAGGGCACAAACACCAACACCGTGGTACAGGGCACAAACACCTACACAGTCGCAGAGGGTACAAACACCTACACAGTCGTACAGGGCACACAAACTTACATCGTTGTACAGGGCACAAACACCTACCCCATCGTACAGGGCACAAACACCTACACCGTCGTACAGGGCACAAACACCCTCATCGTCATACAGGGCACAAACACCCTCACTGTCGTACAGGGCACAAACACCTACACCGTGGTACAGGGCACAAACACCTACACCGTCGTACAGGGCACAAACGCCTACACCGTGGTACAGGGCACAAACACCTAGACAGTGGTACATGGCACAAACACCTACACCGTGGTACAGGGCACAAACACTTACACCGTTGTACAGGGCACAAACACCTGGACCGTGGAACAGGGCACAAACCCCTACATCTTTGTACAGGGCACAAACACCTACCCCATTGTACAGGGCACAAACACCTAGACCGTCGTACAGGGCACAAACACCTAGACAGTCGTACAGGGCACAAACACCTACACCGTGGTACAGGGCACAAACACCTACACCGTGGTACAGGGCACAAACACATAGACAGTCGTACAGGGCACAAACACCTACACTGTGGTACAGGGCACAAACACCTACACCGTGGTACAGGGCACAAACACCTAGACAGTCGTACAGGGCACAAACACCTACACCGTGGTACAGGGCACAAACACCTAGACAGTCGTACAGGGCACAAACACCTACACCGTGGTACAGGGCACAAACACCTAGACAGTCGTACAGGGCACAAACACCTACACCATCGTACAGGGCAAAAACACCTACACCATCGTACAGGGCACAAACACCTACACCGTCGTACAGGGCACAAACACCTACCCCATCGTACAGAGCACATGATGTGAAATCCTTACTGCCTCGTACAATGTAAACACTTTAGTTCATCTAGGACGAAGTAACATCTAACACCTACACGCTTTTGGCAAATGACCAGGTTCAGTGCAGTAAGGGTACAGAATACTGAGCGGAGGGCGGTGGTTCTCAACTGTTCTCAGTCATCGCTGGCCTTTATGGGCTCTTTTAAAAATAAAAAAATCCGGTGGGACGCAACGGTAAGCAGCACTCTCACTTAATTTTTTTAATTAAAGAATTTTTTTCAGTGCTGCTGTAATAGTAGACACTTTATGGTGAGAACCAGCACCTTGTGTTTAGCACTTTGTGGTGAGCACCGGCACCTTTTGTTTCGCACCTAGTGGTGACTACCGGCAAATCCCCTCCCCCCTAAATTAAGCCCACCGCCTCATCGACTGCATCCCTGCTATGTCATAACGGGCATGACCCTAATGGTGCATCTGTATGTATCCTCTCTTATCCTAAAAGCAGACGGACGATGGAAATACATATTTAACCCTGCGATGTTTTCAGCATCATCATGTGCCATGCCGATAACATAGTCTGCCGTGGCTTTCCATTTGACGTAAAAATCAGTCTAGAGTTTCGTGGTGAAGATTCAGGTGCCCATTTTAGACGTAGAAATGACAGACGCACTGCCCTCAATATCAAGTTAGTTGCGTATCCTTTTATAAGACAACGCAGAGCCAGCCCCATTATTTTTTGTGTGTGGCTGTTGTGGGTTTTCTATTCAAATTTACGTCAAGTAGTTTGCCATTGCTTCCTGGACGGTCAGCTTCTCGATACTACTGTCAAAACTAACTAAGGCGCAGGGCCCACAGCTGAGATCAAACCCAGCACCCTGGCATTACGAAGCGCGTTCGCAACGTCTAAGAAACAGACGCCTACAAGATGCTTCAAAAAAGAATGTCGTAAAAAGAGACTAATAAAGCTTTTTTTTTAAAGAGGCGTGGAACCAACAGTATGCACACAAGTAAGTTAGATTTGTAAAAAGGATGTGCACGCAAAACTTAGGTTCAGAACAACAAGACCAAAGTTCAGAACTGCACCTACAACCATAACTTTCCGCCAGTGTTTGGATCAGATCTTTGTTCTTGCCTTCTTAACAAATCTGGCTATGTCATCTAGATATCTATCATCCTTATTTTCCTCTGTATAAAATCATGAAGATGAGCAGTCAGTGAGAGAAGTAGTTATGTCTTTAGAAGAAAGTAAAGAACAATTAGGTGTCGATCAGATTCAGCGTAACTTTCAACTACAAATCGTGTTATTGTCCACGCTGTGTGGCGTTTGTAGTCATGATTACTCACAGCCTTCTGTCTCACACACTGTTAATCATTTCTAACACAGATAATCTTCCATGCCATGAAGCTAACACGGATAATCTTCCATGCCGTGAAGTTAACACAGATAATCGTCCGTGCCGTGAAGCTAACACGGATAATCTTCCATGCCGTGAAGCTAACACGGATAATCTTCCATTCCATGAAGCTAACACGGATAATCTTCCATGCCATGAAGCTAACACGGATAATCTTCCATGCCATGAAGCTAACACGGATAATCTTCCATGTCATGAAGCTAACACAGATAATCTTCCATGCCATGAAGCTAACAAAGATAATCTTCCATGCCATGAAGCTAACACAGATAATCTTCCATTCCATGAAGCTAACAAAGATAATCTTCCATTCCATGAAGCTAACAAAGATAATCTTCCATGCCATGAAGCTAACAAAGATAATCTTCCATTCCATGAAGCTAACAAAGATAATCTTCCATTCCATGAAGCTAACAAAGATAATCTTCCATTCCATGAAGCTAACAAAGATAATCTTCCATGCCATGAAGCTAACACAGATAATCTTCCATGTCATGAAGCTAACAAAGATAATCTTCCATGCCGTGAAGCTAACAAAGATAATCTTCCATGCCATGAAGCTAACAAAGATAATCTTCCATGCCATGAAGCT